CTTTTATGATCTTAGTCTCAAAAGATGGCAAGGTTACTTAAAACACAAACACTGTCTTCGTTCCGACAGATGAAACTCTTCAAAAGAACTTTGAGGCGTTGTTTACCTTAAAGGATCTTTTATTCGAGTAGCATAATATCGGCACTTACATAATCGAAGCCAAAAACTGAATTCCCCTCCCCTGGGCACCTAGTATCAAAGCACAATTCCCTCCTCCAATTTACAGTCATAAATCACATTCCCCAATTAGCTTGAAGCGAGGGCTTCCTCTCCAGCTCTCCAGCCCCCCAATTCTTTATCAGTTCTGGGCTCAATAACCTTGATTCTCACTAAGTTTAGTGTTGTTATGTCTAGCTGGACTCTCATTCACATCCCCCTCCCCAGCATCATCTAACCCTAAAAGCAAAAGGTAAAAAATGACTACATTTCCATCTGTTGTCAATGCAAAAACATCCAATGTTAGCAGCGTTGACAAACACACTGTAGGAAGTGACCAGGTGGAGCCTGAGGGGGAGGTCAAATGTATCATCAATTTGTAGTCTCTAACCCCCCCTCTCCCCCAGACATAAATCTGCCTCCCTTGAAGTCCGTTGAGTCTTACCAGCTGCCTTGACTGTTAGTCATTCATATTCTTGTTGTTTAGTTTGCATGAAATACACCTGTAGTAATTTTAAACTCTATCCTGGCTGCTGACATTTTGCACCTGACACATACCAACAGTATGATGCACAGAGAGTCTTCGACTTACAACAGTTCATTTAGTGACTGTTCAAAGTTACAATAGCACTGAAAAACGTGACTTACGATCGTTTTTCACAGCTACAACCGTTGCAGCCTCCCCATGATCATGTGATCAAAATCTGGACACTCGGCAACTGGATGATATTTATGACGCATGCAGTATCCCAAGATCACCTGATCACCTTTTGTGACAAGCATAGTCCATGGGGAAGCCAGGTTCATTTAACGACCAGGTTTACTAACATCAATCGCAGTGATTGACTTAACAAGGGTGGCAAAAAGGTTGTGAAATGGTGCAAAACTCGCTTAAGAAATGTCTCACTTAACAACAGAAATTTTGTGGTCTTAAATTGAGGACTACTAATACTTACTGGGGTGACGGGTAAGGAATTATTTTAGTATCAAACAAGACTACGGTCTGTTTGAAGCTAAATCAACTCCCTGCAGAACCCCAATAGGTTAATTCTCCCAGTAAAGACCCATTGAGGTGTGTCATCCAATGGACTGTTTTCTATCCCCAACTGTGCTCACTGGATGTGTTTAAGTTAGTTACTGCATTCTCATTTTCTAGGCTCACGTATACCTTGAAGCATAAACTAACCAGCAGGCTCCGTTAAAACTAATCAAGCTTAGCATGTGGTCCAGTTACAGTTGTTCAACAGACCTGCTAAAGCATGTCATACAAACCCAGGCATGGTGGAATTCATCTGTTGGACTACACCAGGGGTAGGCAACCTTGGCTCTTTTATGACTCGCGGACTTCAACTCCCAGAATTCCTGAGCCAGCCAAGGTTGCCTACCCCTGGACTACACTTACCATTCTCTTTCCCATCTCTCTGAGCTCAAATGGGTGGTGAAGTAATGGTGGGAGGGGAATACAGCCTCCCCCGACCTGTCCTTTGCAACATCGATCATGATCAGTTATTGCTGTTGTTGTTGTATAGATTGTGGTCTTCAATCTAAGGCAGTGATGGCTAACCTATGGCACGGGTGCCAGAGGCGGCACTCAGAGCTTTCTCTGTGGGAACGCACGTTGTCGCCCCAGTCCTAGGCCTTCAGCTGGGTTTTATAAAACCTTTTCGCTTTAGGCCTCCGCCGCCATGTGCAAAAAAAAAAAAGGTTCAATCAGTCAATTTCAACTTCTCGTGGGAAAAAAAAAGTTCTTGCAAAGTTGGAATTGATTGATTGAACTTTTTAGTCCCACCCAGTCTGCCGTTACCACTGCAGCCATGCCCACCCAATTGGCCACACCCAGCCAATGGGCAACACCCACCCGACACTTGACGATGCATAAGTGGGTTTTCGGTTGCAGTTTGGGCACTCAGTCTCTAAAAGGTTCGCCATCACTGATCTAAGGGAAAATAAATAAAACATACCCATACACACTTATAAATACATATGGTTCTTTCTTCAATAGCTTAAAGTGGTATACATGGCATGCTTGCTTCCAATTATAAGATAAATACTCTATAGGAGTAGGCAACCTTGGCTCTTTTATGACTCGTGGACTTCAACTCCCAGAATTCCTGAGCCAGCATGGCTCAGCTTGGAAATCTCTCCCTTTCCCCTCAGCATGGCTGGCTCAGGAATTCTGGGAGTTGAAGTCCACGAGTCATAAAAGAGTCAAGGTTGCCTACCCCTGCTCTATAACATATTACAGATAGTCCTCGACTTACAACAGTTCATTTAGTGATGATTTGAAGTTACAATAGCACTGAAAAAAGTGACTTATGACTGTTTTTCACACTTACTGTATGAATGTTGCAGCATCCCCATAATCATGTGATGAAAATTCAGATGCCATGTATTTATGACAGTTGCAGTGTCCCAGCATAATGTGATCACCTTTTGCAACCTTCTGATAAATAAAGTCAATGGGAAAACCAGATTCCCTTAACAACTGTGTTACTAACTTAACAACTGCAGTGATTCACTTAACAGTTGTGGCAAGAAAAGTTGTAAAATGGGGCAAAACTCCCTTAACAAATGTCTTCCTTAGCAACATAAATTTGAGGCTCAATTGTGGTTGTTAGTTGAGGACTACCTGTACAGTGTAAGGGCTATACAAATAGTTTCTGACTTACAACCACAACTGAGCCTAAAATTTCTGTTGCTAGGCAAGACAGTTGTTAAGTGAGTTTTGCCCCATTTTACGACCTTTTTTGCCACAGTTGTTAAGTGAATCGCTGTAGTTGTTATATTAGTAACACGGTTGTTAAGTAAATCTGGTTTCCCCATTGACTTTGCTTCTCAGAAGATCACAACAGGAGATCACATGACCCCCAGGGACAATGCAATCGTCATAAATATGAGTCGGTTGCCGAGCGTCTGAATTTTGATCAAGCGACCGTGGGGAAGCTACAATGGTCGTAAGTGTGAAAAACGCTTATAAGTCACTTTTTTCCCCTTACCGTTGTAATTTCGAACGGTCACTAACCGAGGGGTTTATTTTTCTTTTCTTTTTGGGCGGAAATCAGAATGCCCGTTTCTGCGAAAAACATAAATGTGACTGTGGGACACTGCAAACTGCCATAAATGCAGGCTGGTTGTCAAGTGCCCGAAATATGGTCACGTGATCCCAGGGAGGCAGCCATTGGAACATGGAATCTGGGTTGTAAAGTAGCCCTGGGGAGGCCTGCCATAAGTTCAACTGTTCGCTAAGTGACCGTCATAAGTCGAGGACTACCTGTACTGATTCAGGTTCAAAGCTTTGCTTTCAGCATATATCGGACCAAGATTCCTCTGGCAGCTTGTCCAATGTAGACTGGAATAATGATGAAGATCGTTGCTAAGTTAATTATACTTGCACGCTGGCCTTCTCTGCACTCCCTCTTAAGGCTCACAGACACCCCCACATTCTGTGCTTCAGGGGAGGCCTATTAGTATGCCGGAGGCATTGCCTGAACGCATCTGTCTGAGCTGCACGAGTGAATGTTTCTCCCCTCCCTTCTTACCCTTTCCTATTTTGAATATAAATGCTTTCAATCCAAGCTTTGCATGCCTCGCTGGCTCATTTGTTTTTTAATCTATCTTTTCTCTCTTTTAATTTTTCTAGAACAGCCCTTGGCAATTCTTTACCTCAGGTGCACTGGACTTCAACTCCCAGAATACCTCAGTCAGGACGGCCATGACTAAAGGTTCTGGGAGTTGCAGTCCAGCACATTTAACAGAATAACAGAGTTGGAAGGGACTTTGGAGGTCTTCCAATCCAACCCTCTGCTCCAGCAGGAAACCCTATACCAGTGGTGGCGAACCTATGGCACGGGTGCCAGAGGCGGCACTCGGAGCCCTCTCTGTGGGCACATGTGCCGTTGCCCCAGACTTGCCTCCCCCCAAGACCCCCTCCTCACCAGCAGCCCTCCTGGAGGAGAGTCGCCCCGAGCGTGGCCCACGCGGAGCAGTGCAGCCAAGGACATGGCAGCCAGGCAGCGTAGACAAGACTCTGCCCTCACACCCCATTGCGCACAGTTGATGCTGCGGGGCGCGGGCAGAGGGCGTGCCTGCCATGGCGCTGCTGGGTGATCTGCGGTGGGCTCTGAAGGCGATGAGTGGCCCTGCGAGCAGAGTGGGGGCGGGCAGGGGGTAGAGCGGGGGCGGGGCCAGTTTTTGGGCACTCGGCCTCTAAAAGGTTCACCATCACTGCCCTATACCAGGGGTAGGCAACCTTGGCTCTTTTATGACTCATGGACTTCAACTCCCAGAATTCCTGAGCCAGCACTGGCTCAGGAATTCTGGGAGTTGAAGTCCATGAGTCATAAAAGAGCCAAGGTTGCCTACCCCTGCCCTATACCATTTCAGACAAATGGTTGTGCAGTCTCTTCTTGGAAACCTCTGGTGGTGGAACACCCACAACGTCTGGAGACGTCATTCTACTGATTAATTGTTCTCACTGTCAGGAAATTTCTTCTTAATTCTAGGTTAGTTCTCTTCTTGATTAGTTTCCATCCATTGCTTCTTGTCCTGCCTCCAGTTGCTTTGGAGAAGAGGTCTGACTCCCTCTTCCTTGTGGCAGCCCCTGAGATATTGGAATACTGCTATCATGTCACCCCTCGTCCCTCTCTTCATTAATCTAGACATACCCAATTCCCGCAAACGTTCCTCATATGTTTTAGCCTCCAGTCCCCTGATCATCTTTGTTGCTGTTTTCTGCACTCTTTCCAGAGTCTCAATTTGGAAGGCTTTTCTTCAGGTGTTGAGTTTTTCCTGAATCTACTCTACCCTGAGCCAAGTTAACAATTTCTATTTTTATCTCTTTGCAGGGCATCAGTTGGCCAAGATACCCGACAGAGCACCCTTTGGAGAAGGAAATGTGCAGCAGCCCATGGACCAATATTCTGAGGGAAGCCACGAATCAGGAATTGAGAACATCTTGGTGGAGCACGATCCTGATCTGTCCTTTCTGAGCCAGAATGAGCTATTCCCCAGGGAAAATGAGGAAGCTATCATGTCAGCAGACTCCAAAGAATCAGCCAAGGATTTTTATGGCCCCTTACACAAAGCGGCAGTGCCATTACTGGAAGAAGACGAGCAGCTCCAGATGGTAACTACTTTCCCAGTTGGAAGAGAAAGCATGGAAGAGAGGTCCATGGTACCCAATATCTCTTTTCTAAATGGGGAAGTTAGAGGAGCTTCCACAGAACCCTCCGTAGATGTTCTTCACGATGGCAAACTGTTCACTGTAGTTGATGGTGCTGATCAGATGAACGTCACTGAAGAGTCACCGAGCGTGGTTTCAGTGATGGGCAAGATGTCTTTGGAAAGGGACCCTGAAGGTGGCATCTCACCAGAAGCGATCCCTCATTCGGTCACCTCAACCTGGTTGCAGGGAAATACAGAGGGTTTATTCCCACGGGATACTGCTTCTCCTCAACCCTCTCAAATTCAAATCCTAAAGGAGCATCCAACAATTCCCTTCCTAATTCCTTCCCCCACTTCTCCAAAAGACCACCCCACTGCCACTGGGGCAACACCATCTTTGGCTGGCATCCCTGAGAAGAATGTTTACACTGGACTGAATGGGCGGTACTTCCAGGAACAGTGGAAAGAAGAGCTGGCTGTTGATGGGAACCCAGAACGTAGCACCATGCTACCTACTGCGTTGACTGTCTTGGCCTTAGCAGGGCGTGAAATGGTAGACAATGCCATTGAGGCTTCAGCTGGTGTGGTCCCAAGCTCTGCCTCCACTCTTGAGGGAGGTGTAAGCTACTCGCTGTCCAACGAAGTTGATGGAAACAGTAAGTTGATTTGGAACTTGGTTTCTGCTGAAACATCCTTCCATCGAGTGTAGGGAGCCTGCAGATTGTGGAAGCACCTTAAGACAGAGGGATCTTTCCTAATGGGAATGGCTGGGCTTAGATCCCATTTTCAGAGCCGGGGTGGCACAGTGGTTAGAATGCAGTATTGCAGGCTATTTCTGCCGACTGCCAGGAGTTCGATTCTGACCGACTCAAGGTTGATTCAGCCTTCCATCTTTCCAAGATCAATAAAATGAGGACCCAGATGGTGGGGGGGGGCAATATTCTGACTCTATAAACTGCTTAGAGAGGGTTGTAAAGCGCTGTATATAAGTCTAAGTGCTATTGCTATTCATATCCCACAGTACTGTGAAGGGATACCAAATCAGGATTATTGCGGGACAATATTACAGTAGCTAGACTTGGTACACCAGAGGAAGCCCTCGACTTATAACCACAACTGGGACCAGAAAATTCATCATTAAGCGGTGTGGATGTTAAGTGAGGCATCATGTAACTCAGGGGTGTCTAACTCAAATTTCATTGAGGGCCGCATCAGCATTATGCTTGTCCTCAAAGGGCATTATGCTTGTCCTCAAAGTTGCATGCAAGACTATCATATTGTGTCGTCCCCCCCCCTCACGCATTGAGCCTCCCGTTTCGTGTTTCCTCCCGTCTTTGGGGAAGAGTCTTGTGGGAAAGGGCAGCACAGATGATAGGAAGAGGGGGAGGGAAAGGCAACGAGGCAGGGAGGGGTGAGAACTGAAGAAACACACAGCCTGAGGGTCTTCCGTCCGTTCTCTTTCCTTCCCTCCCTTTCCTTCCCTCGCCAGCCCCTCCCTCTCAGGCAGAGGATGTTTTAGCCATGCCCGCCCCCCCCTGCCCCTGCGGTCACTGCTGCCACGCAGCTCCACCTGTTGGAGAGGCTCCCACTGCCCGTCCTCTGCTAGGGCTGCTGCCCCTGCAAGACACCCAAAGAGGGAGGAGGTAACTACTCAGTCACCTCCTCCTCCTCCTAGACCAGTGGTTCTCAACCTGTGGGTCGGGACCCCATTTGGGGTCGATCGACCATTTCATGGGGGTCGCCAAGCAAGGCTGTCCACCATTTTTTTTGTCCGCCATTTTTTTCCCCTTTTCCGGCGGGTGCCTTACCTCCCTTGGGCTGGGCCAGCTGGTGGTCGGCCTGCTCCGTCTCTGCCGCTTGCCAGCTACGCCTCGGCCGGCGCAGGGGGCGGAACCACGCATGCACGGCGCTCCCGGGCAGGGAAAGTCCTCGACTTATGACCGGTTGGGTAGTCCTCGACTTACGACCGGTTTAGTCCTCGACTTACGACCAGTTTAGTCCTCGACTTATGACCGGTTTAGTCCTTGACTTACGACCGGTTGGGGTCGCGGCATTAAAAAGGTTGAGAACCACTGTCCTAGACTGCTTGTGGGCCAGATCTAAACACATCAGGGGCCAGATCTGGCCCACAGGCCTTGAGTTTGACATGTCTGATGCAACTGAACCTCATTTTATGAACCTCTTTGCCATGGTCATCACAGGACCATGACTTGCAACCTTCCCTGCTAGCTTCCCCGTTGACTTTGCTTGTTGGACGCCTGTTGAGGAGGTCACAAATGGTGAATTGAACTGAATAATTTATTTGACCAAGTCTGATTAGACATGCAAGGAATTCGTCTCTGGTACGGAAGCCCTCAGTGTGATGTCGGTGATCACATGATTGCAGGATGCTGCAATGATTGTAAGTGTCAGCTGCGTGCCAAGTGCCCAAATCACAATCACGTGACTATGGATACCCTGTGACAGTCATATGTATGAGGACTGGTCGTAAGTCATTTTTTCCATGCCATTGTATCTTCAAATGGTCACTAAATGAATGGGATTATAAGTGAAGGATTACCTATAATTCTGGTTGTAGCCACAGAAGGGGTACGGTATATTGGATAAGTATAATGTCCGTTTTGATCAAGTGCTACATTTCAGTTTTATGTCCTATCTCAGTGGTGGTGAACCTATGGCACGAGTGCCAGAGGCGGCACTCAGAGCCCTCTCTGTGGGTACATGTGCCATTGCTCCAGCCCCGCCTCCCCCCGCGGCCCCCTCCACACCAGCAGCCCCCCCAGAGGAGAGTCGCCCCCTCTATTCTATTCTATGGTTGTCTATTCTATGCCCGCCTGGAGCAGCGCAGCCAAGGACATGGCAGCTGGGCAGTGGGGACAAGACTCTGCTCTTGCGCCCCGTCGCCAACAGATGCTGCTGCTGGGCACAGATGGAGGGCGTGCCCGCCATGGCGCTGCTGGGCCACCTGGGCAATCTGCGGCAGGCTGTGGAGGTGATGGGTGGCCCTGCAGGTGGGTGGGGGTGGGGCAGGGGTGAAGTGGAGTGGAGTGGGTGCGGTGCAGGGGGTGTGGGGCGGGGTGGGCAGTTTTTGGGCACTCGGTCTCTAAAAGGTTCACCATCACTGTCCTATCTCATCTCCAGATAAGTGGGGGGGGCAGCTTGGTGCCTCCTTTTTGGTGCATTTCCCATGGCCAACAAATTTAATTTAAAAAGAGGGGGAAAACTAGCAGAATTTTCTTTTCTTTATAACATTTTTTCACATACATTAATTGCTAAAGTTAAAAGAACACATGGGGAGTGCCAGGGTAGGTGTGGAAGAATTGACTCACTCTCCATATGCTAATAAATTGCTTACATTAGTCCCTGTTGCAGAAAGCAATCTGGGATAGCGGTGTTCAGATTTTTTACCCCAGAGCCCTCTCTGAAATAATCACTGCTTTCTTGATTTGGCTGGGTTCAAATCCCCATTTGGCCCTAAAGCTCGATGCAAACCTTATCTCTCGACTGCTTTACCTCACAGGGTTGTCGAGAAGATTTTCAAGCAATGGCCTCTATCACTTGTGCAGTCTTAACATTTAACGCGAGCTGTGGTGGCACAGTGCTTAGAATGCAAGATTGCAGGCTGAAGCTCTGCTCACTGTCAGGAGTTCGATCCTGACCGGCTCAAGGTTGACTCAGCCTTCCATCGTTCCGAGATTGGGAAAAATGAGGACCCAGATTGTTGGGAAGGCAATAGGCTGACTCTGTAAACCGCTTAGAGAGGGCCATAGAAGTGGTATATAAGTCTAAGTGTCTGTGGCAGGGGTCCCCAAACCCTGGTCTGTGGACCAGTACTGGGCCGCGGCATGCCAGCAATCGCCCCGCACAAACAAGCAACACCCCATCCACAGGATGCAGGCAGCGCACAAAACTACACACCTCCCGGTCCATGGAAAAACCTCTTTCCACGGAATCGGTCCCTGGTGCCCAAAAGGTTGGGGACCTCTGGTCTATGGAGATTCTCAGTCATCCAGGTCGTGATTCTATCTGCCAGCTCTGTTCCATTCCATTTTATTCTACGGTTGTCTCAAAGGTGCTTTTTTCAAAAGGCAACTGGACTATGTTTTTCCTTAAGGAAGAAGGAAGACGTTTCGCTTCTCATCCCTGAACTGATGAAGCTTCCTGGATGGGAAGCGAAATGTCTTTTTCTTCCTGAAGGAAAAACAGTTGCTTTTTGAAAAAAAGCACCTCTGAGATCAGCCTAAGTGCCATGGCTATTTAGTTATGTATTTATTAAATTTATATGCTGCCCGTCTCATTATCGAGCGACTCTGGGTGATTTGGTATAGGAAACAGGACAAAAATGTAGTTTATAGCATCTATAACAGTGGTGGCGAACCTATGGCACGCGTGCCAGAGGCGGCACTCGGAGCCCTCTCTGTGGGCACGCGCACCCTTGCCCCAGCCCCACCTCCTCCCGTGGCCTCCTCCTCATCAGCAGCCCCCCTGGAAGAGAGTTGTCCCTGGGCACGGCCCACACAGAGCAGCGCAGCCAAGGACATAGCCGGGCAGCAGGGACAAGACTCCGCCCTCACGCCCCATAGCGTGCAGATGATGCTGTGGGGTGTGGGTGGAGGGCGTGGCTGCCATGGCACTGCAGGGCTGCCTGGGTGATCTGCTGCGGTGGGCCATGGAGGCGGTGCGTGGCCCTGCGGGTTGGTGGGGCAGGGGGTGGGCGGGGGTGGAGCAGGCAGGGCAGGAGGCAGAGCGGGGTGGGGGGCAGTTTTTGGGCACTCGGTCTCTAAAAGGTTCGCCATCACTGATCTATAATGTATATATGATGGGTTATATTTCTTAGGAAGATCCCTGTGTTTATGTCTGAGGGATATCAGATGGAATTCTCTCAGCCTTCCCATTTCAAACCCCCCACTCTGCCTTTTGGGCTGCTGATTCTGGGTGGATTTTAACTCTCTTTCCCTCTGCTCCAAAATCCTTTTTCCTGCGTGGCTTTAAAACCCTTGCCTCCTGAAAGAGCTAAGTAGCCATTGGTGCCAATTAGCACATGTTTGCAACCTGCTGTAATGCACTCAGGCATAATTTCGTCTGCAAAAGTGTTAGCACCAATTAAGAGAGGGATGAGAGAGAGCGGCAGTCTCTGAAGGCAGAGCTATTTTGCAAGTGTGCATAATTTTGACACTTACGGCTGCACAGAGGTTTGGGTGAGTCGTTGCCGATGCTCAAATTAAGAAAAAGCATCTGGTGCAGTGCTGAGCTGTGGGGGTGGCAGCTGGCAGAGCTGGCAGAGGAGGGGAGGGAGAAAAAGACCAAAAAAGGACCAAGAAATCAGGATAGGAAGAACGGAATTCTAGAAAGTTAACCTGCTTGGCATACAGGTAGTCCTCAAGTTAGGACCGGCCACTTAGCAACTATTCGAAATTATGACCTACCTTAAAAAGGGACTTATGACCTGGAACCAAATTTCCGATGGCCCTTCCCAGTCATGTTGTGCTCAGCAACACAGCTGCATTTAGGGCCATTTGCAGCACCCTGTGGTCACATGACCACAATTGGTAATGTTTTTGCTGAAAATCTACATTTACTTCTAGTTTTGAACAAATCCCTGCCATAGCAAGCAACGGCATTTGCTTAACGACCACTGCAAAACACATAAAATTGA